CCTAACATTAAAACCGTCACAATTTATTATTATTATTATTATTATTGTTATTATTGTTATTATTATTATTATTATATTATTATTATTATTTACCTTATCACATTAATAATAAAATATTTGCTTGCAAGTTTTGTAAGTTAATAAGACAAATATTGTTATATTATATAATAATTGAAATAAATATATATTTTATGGTATCATATAATAGTTATTATTAAAATTAATAATTATATTTACACTAAATGATAAATGAAAAATACATAAGCATAAAAAATCATATTGTAAAATTTCTTATAATTTTTTTTGTTTAAAGTTATATTTTCTAAAATTAATATTATATTTTTATATGATTAAGTGTTTGTTTTTATAATAAATTAATTTATATTAATGTCATAGTAAAATTTCTTAAAGTCGGATGAGCAATCGTTATAATAAATTTAATATTTCAGCTAATTAATTGGTCATGATCCTCAAATTTACAAATATTACATTATTTATTACATTTTATGCAATCAATATAGTGATTCATATGCAATCGAACCATTATGTACTATTTATTTTAATCAATGATCAAATTTTAAAACATTAATATATAGAATTATCTAACTTATATTTTTAATATTATACGTATAAATATAACTTATAATACTCTATGTTCAAAAATATAATATCATTATTCAACTTATATTTTTGATATTATATGCATACAAATAATTTATAAAACTTTATTCACACCTGTGCAAATACACATGTCGAATACTAGTTGGTTATTGAACTCTGACGGATAATTTACACCTGTTAGAATTTGGGAAAAATATATTCTATATTATTCAAAAGACATGTACACATATATATAGGAACATAATGAGCCTAAATCTAATCCTACAATATATATATACAAAATATATTATAACCATATATACAAAATATATTCTAACACCCCCCCTCAAACTCAAGGTGGTATAGTAGATATCAACTTGAGTTTGCTAAGAAGTAAACAAAAGCGACCGGGAAGGAGAGACTTCGTGAAGACATCCGCTATCTGATCCGAAGAGGAGACAGAAACAAGTCGTACAGTCCCATGGGTAACATGCTGGCGAATAAAATGAACGAAACTGGAGGGAAAACGGTGCGGGCCCACTAACATGAAGCGCACCAAAGTGGGGAAAACCCAAGTTTGCAATGAAGACAACTAAAAGACTCAAAATGACCTGAACCCAAAAGACCCTTATTATATAAAGAATGAACTTTATTCGAAGACGCATGCCCAAGACGAAGATGCCACTGGAAACTAGACTTACTATCGGTGGCAGAAGCAGAAAAAGCGTAGGAACGAGGGACATGAAGTGACTCAAGCTCAAATAACCGGCCCGTCTTGCGACCTTTCCCGATAAGCTGTCCCGTCTGTGAATCCTGAACCTGAACACCAGAAGATGAAAATATAACATTAAGACCTTGGTCAACCAATTGACCAACAGAAATAAGATTCAAGGCCAAGTCAGGAATGCAATATGCGTCGGGAAGATGCAAGGAAGGGGAAGAAATCAAACCAGTGTGAGTAACATTCATAAGAGTACAATTAGCAGTATGTATAGGAGGTAAAGAGGTTACAGAAGACGAGGAAGACAAAAGCTGCGGGCTAGAGGTCATGTGATTGCAACAACCAGAATCAAAATACCAATGTGATTTACCTCCGGTAGCAGACATAGAGGAATTGGAAAGAAGAACCTGTTTGAGAATAGCCTCTATGTCTTGAAGAGTGTAAGACGAATGTTGAGGCTCAGTAGTGACAGCCGCTGTAACAGAAGAAGTGGCGGTAGAGGAAGACCCATGATGTCGAGAGAATGAACCTCTCGAACGGTGTGATCTGGCTGGACAATATGTAGCAATATGACCCCAAACATGGCAAATGTGGCATACCACCGTAGGACAAAATGGAGCAATATGACCCTGAACATGGCAAATGTGGCAGACCACCATAGAAGAATCCATATCCAATAAATAAAGAAGCACCAGCAACCAGCAACAGTACGAAGACAAAAGAAAATCACGAACTGGATCACAAACCGGACAAAATAGCAGTAAAAGGCCAAAATTAAAAAGTTCACGAATACCAAATCCGAGCACACCACAAGGTAGCCGACGTCGACAGGAGTCGGCGGCTGAAAGGCGGCGGCAAACGGCTGAGTAGGTGAACTACACGCGCCGCCGGAAACTCACGGCGCTGCCGGACAAAGTCGGCGCGTGGGAGATGCACGCGCGGCCGATCTGGGTGGTTCCGGTCGGCGAAGACTCGTCTCGAGACGGCGGACCCGATGGTATGGGAGGTGAGAACCGGTGGGCACTGTAGAAGATCGACGAAC